ATGGGTATATGGGGTTCACTGTGCTGCTCTGTCCACTTTTGTGCATGTTTGGGGTTTTCCATAATAATAATTATTTGAAAATTCCATTTTAAATTGTGCTTTATCTTTTGAAACACTTTTTCCACAATTGATTTTTGTGTATTAATCTATATTTAGTAATCTTGCTGAATTCTTTTAATCGCTGTCTTTTAATGGTTTGCCTGTAGTGTCCCTTGGATTTTCCATATAAATAATAATATGGTATGGGAATGACATTGTCATTTCCTCCTTTCCACCCTTTCACCTTTCCTTTGTTTTCTTTGCTGTGCTGGCTAGGACTGCCAGTACAATGTTGACCAGAAACAGTGATAGAGGGCATCCTTGTCCTAGTCCTGTCTCTAAAGACAACGCTTCTAAAGTGCTACCATGAAAGTGTGATGTTCACCGTAGATTTTTCATAGGTACTTTTCATCAAAATCAGGAAGCTCTCTTCTTTTATTTTTAGTTTGATAATTTTTAATCATGAACGGGCAAATTTTATAATTTTTTTCCTCTTGCATCTATTGAGGTGATCCGAAAGATTTTCCCCTTCAATCTCTTGATGTGAATTACATAAACAGATTTTCAAATGTTAGACCATCTTTGAATTCCTACAATAACTTAAACTCAGTCATGGTGTATTATTATTATTTTTTAAATATAAGCTTAAGAATTTGATTGGTTAATATTTTGTTTAGGAGTTTTGTATCTTTGATCATAAGAGAGACTGGTCTATAATTTTCCTTTCTTATGTTGTCCTTTTCTCCGTTTCAGCAGCTTTTTGGTTTTGATGAATTTAGGTCCCAAGTTAGAAATGAGCTTTCCTTCCTGGAAGGTGAAGAGAATTTTCAAAATCAAGGGGCAACAGCTGTGTTCTGGGACTCTGGGGACTTTCTTAGGGTTTTTCTGGGCTGTGTGGGAGTAAACCAGAAACATTCTGAAGGATACATCACTTCTCACTTCCTTCTCTTCCCCTCTGAAGGAGAACTTTGAAATACTTTCCAGAAAGAAAAGTTAAGCAGTATGGGAGTGTGTAGGTCATCTAGGTTCTAAGAATTAGTAGAATTTTCTGCACCCAGTACTGTCGGCTGCAGCTAGCAGGGCCCGGCAGTGTATGGAGACTGTGCAGGCCTCACGAGGGGGCAGCGAGGGGAGCAAGGAGACCCTACGCACACCGTGAGGCTGGTCTTTGCATGGCGCTGCCGTCCAGGCTATAGATTCTGGTGGGTGGCACTGCCTAGACTCCTGGGCACACGCTTTCTGGTCTCCCTGTGTTCTCCACAGCTTTAGGAGAAACTTTTCCAACACTGGCTACTCTTTACTTCTTTGCACAGGTTGGGCAATCATTATGTTAATACTTGCTCCTTCTGGAGCTGTTTATTCGTGGAGCTGGGAACTGCCCCTGAGGAAAGGCCTTCAAAACTGAATTGAACTGAACTAGATAAACACAAATACTGGCAGAGACTCCAGTTACCTTGGTTTTAAACATTAGCTGTGACTGCATAATTCTCTTGACTTGTAGGCCTCAGGTTCCTTCATCCATAATATAAAAGAACTTCTAGAGATTCTAAATAACCTCCAAGATTCATGCTGGCTTAAAAAAAAATGCCGCCATAATTTTGTGGTGTTTCCCTGACTTAGTAATTATTTCCTAATCAGAAACACATGGATGCTGTTAAAACTCTTTAAAAACCCAAGGGCCTTGAAGTCATAGAAACCTGGGTTTATCTCTCAGCTCCTCTACTTACTGTCTGTGTGACATTGGGAAAGTTGCCTAACTTCTCTGAGCCTCTCTGTGAAACAGGGATAATGCACTTTATCTCATAAATTATGGTGAGGATAAAATGAGATATACATACATAAAGCACCTAGGATCATGTCTTGCTTCACAGTGGGTGCCAAAAATTACTTCCCTTTTCTCCCTCCCTCAAGTGACTATGTGTGGAAAAACTAGACAAAAGAAAACTGTACAAAGTCCAAATTGTTTGGTTGGCACTCCAGGGGTTTGCCTGCCTCCCACCTTTTCCCCAGGACCTATGCCTGTCTGCTTTTCAGCTTTGTAGACTTTCTATCTCTGCTAGTCTCCACCTAGGGATGGAATCCTCAGGCGGTCCCAGCGTGTGGAGACATCACAAGCTACCGCAGAGAGGAAAAGACAAGACTAAAAGATGCAACACACCCAGAGAGCCTAGCCTTGGGGAGAGACCCGCCTGGGGTCTTGAGCTCGCCGGCTGGGAGCTCCTTTTGTAAGGACGGGAGGACTTCCCCGAGCAGAGAAGGCGCTAGTCGGGAGCCTCCGTGGCGCCGCGGGGACCCGCAGCGGCGCTATTGAAGTCACAAAAGCTGCCAGAGCCCTGGAGAGGAGTGGTGCTCCCCCCACGGCCTGCTGCTGGCCCCCTGCCGCCGCCAAGGAGGCAGATGCCTCCACTGCTGGGCCATTTTGTCTTCCCCTCCCTTCCCCCAATTTGCCACATTTTTTTTTTTTTCTGTTTAAAACACCTGCCTGAACAATCTCTTCATTCAGATTTCTCCACTTGGTGTGTGTGTGAAGCATTTCTTTAAGTCTCTATTTTCTCTTGACCTTCCTCTCTTCTCCTGGGCTACCTGAGAGCACTCCAGGATGTCAAACCCTCTTTTTGATAGCTATTAGCAACCTAGCAGACAGACCCTGGGGAGGTCAGTCAGACCTGGAGCCTCACCGTCCCCGGCTTTGTGACCAAGGACATGGTACTTAACTTCTATGTGCCTCAACTGTCTCATCTGAAAAATGAGGATAACAGGGTTTCTTCTTTACAGGATTGTCATAAAAGTTAAATGAGACACTTTATAGTCATCACCTCTAGGAAGCCCTCCCTGACCCCTCCCTATCGCCGCTGCTGTAGCCAGGATCAGTGGATGGGTGGAAAGAAAAGTTTTGTAACTAAAACAAAAACAATTTCCCCCTTTGATTTGGAGGTTGCTCATTTGGCCTATCTGGTGAAAACTTGCATGCAGTATTCTCGCCAAGTCCAAGACTTACGGTATTCTCACTGGAGGTGGCACTGGGCTCAGTGCTTATAATTAACCATGAAGATATGACTTCATTTAGAGTAGGAAAAAAATCCTGACAATTAGCCTGAAGACCTATGGGAGTGGGTGGTGGAGAAATTGATCCTTAAATAGTTAAAAAAATTCCTTGGCACTTCTTCCTTTTTTTCCTTCAAAGACTTGAAATCCTTTTTTAAACATTAGCATTTATCATTCAGGACAGGAAAATACCTTCTTTAATTTTCTGCAGTGATATTTCATTGCATTAAAGATGGTCTGAATAACCTTTATGGAACTCAGCTGGAGCTTGCCTTTCTGTCATGAGACAGAAAATCTGTTTTGACTGACTTGGTCATTGCTTAGATTTGGCCACGTTCTGTATTGCCTAAAACCTCCATTGCACTTGGCCAAGACATTGGAACCCTGTCAGTGCTCATATTCTGCGTATGTGATTTATGATATGGAAGATCTGACGGCTGGAGCACGTTTCCTTGGCTAGTGTCACTCAGCTTTGAAAACAGAGGTGGCAAGAGCCTCATGTTACCAGAAACTCTGCTTAAAAACTTGACCAAACCCAGGGATCAAGCTACCATAATATAGTACTGTCTGATATCCAGAAACAGTGAGGTCTTTTAAAATTGGTATGAAAATTATTTTGATTAGGATGTCAACTGAAAGAAATGATAAAAGATGTAAACAGTGAAAGATGAGGGTGAAATCCAAAATCTGTGACTTTGTACATTTATCTTGTGTTCACTGTAAGGGGTCCAGAGGAGATAGGAGGAGTCATGGTGTCATTTTCCAGATTGCTAAACAGTGACCACAAGCGGGTAGATATTTATTTGCTGTGATGTCCAAGTCAAGATTCATATTCACTAAAAGGCTACTTTACAAGAATTACTTCATCTGTTTCTCATGTGACCTTATGAGAGGTTGCTGTTTTCAGATGAGGACACTGAGGCACAGAGGGTAGGCAGAGGGTAGTCCAACTCCAGAGCCCATGCTCTCAGCTTAGCAGCTCAGCCCCGCAGCTGCTAGCGCATGCAGCACCTTTTATGTGAATTAGAAAAAGGTGCCCTAGTAGAAGGGCCAAGTAGGAAAAGGAGCCCCCTCTGGGCGGCTGTGGCCCAGTGCAGGGGTACATGGCTTAGGCAGCAGAGCACAGGCTGGATTTCAGCCCCCTCGTGCTCCCTTTGCGGATACGTTTGTACAGCAAACAACAAGCACAATCCTGTCTGGCCCTGCATCCACTCCTTGAGTATGCAAGAGTCTCTCACACATCTGTTTCCACTCATGCAAGAAGCAGTGAGGAAGCTGCTACCGACACTGGGCCTAGCCCAGCTGCAGCATCACGTAGCATACTCAGGGGCCCCAGGAAAGAGCTGGGTCTAGTTCAGGGCCTGGAGACATGAACAATTCCAAGAAGCTCAGTGGTTCTGGGCCCAATATTTCCTAGAAGCACTACCACCACCACCATGGTCATCATCAAATGCAGCATCATTTTTAGAGGAAGCCACAATCAAGTGGCTCTGGCCACACAGAGCTACAGGTGACAAGGGCTGGGTCTCTAAAGGTAACAAGTCACCCCTCTGTTGGAATGTTATCTCTCTAGGCAGGGGACCTCAGCCCGCACACCTGTGTATCTAAGCCCCCCATGAAAGTGGGAGAAACAAAGAGGTAGAGGTGCCTGTGGGGCCTTTTTGTAATGTCCCCAAAGTCTCCACTCTTTTATATCAATCTGCAGCCTCTGGCAGGAGAGAAATCTTTCAGTAAATCCAAGGACTTAAAGCATTTTATTATCGTTTGGCTGGTGATGCAGCAAGTGCTGCATTAACACACTGGAGTCTGAACTCAGCACTTTGGTCTGTGTTCTGACTTCCAGCCCACGGCCCATTAACAGCTTTTAACAGTGCAAAGTTTTTCCGACAAGTGTAAGAGTATGAAGCTGTCTCTACCTTGGCTGTCTTGATGACTTTCTCTGGGGGCTTCGCCTGGTTCTTCATGATAGTCCAGTGCATCTCCACTGTCCTATTGGGTTAACACACAACAAAGAATACATAAGACAAAACAAATGCAAACACTCCTGTAGTCCATTCCCGTCGGTAAAAGAGAATCCAGTTTTCTTAGTGGTTTCTTTTCCTTCTTTGTCACCTTGTTTCAACTTACGCGTCCAAGAAGGCTACTACTGGTGTGAATGGGCTTAAAAAGCAAGGAAGGCTTGGCAGCAGCCTTAAACGTTGTCAGGTTCTTAGTTGTACTTATTTTGATGGGTCTTGTCCCATTCATTTGGGAAGTGCTTGATGCCTGGCATATGTAGGAGTTTACTGGGGGGAAAATGTCATAGGCAAAGGGCAACTGGCAGAAGGGAGCAGGGGACCTCCAGGGATTGAGGGAGGACTGGCATGACTAGAGCAGAGACTGAGGGAAGTGGGCAGGGTGTGGAGGAGTCAGATCCCAAAAGCCTTGAAGGCAGGTTAAAGACTTTGGTCTTTATCTTGAGGACAAATGCAAGGCATTGAGGATTTAAAGCGGGGAGCTGAAGGGTCAGCCTGTCCTTTTGTGGAGTTCCCAGGATTACCACGGATTGGGTTTTCATCATATTTGATCCCCTCTTCCTTCCTTCCCTGAGTCATACAAGCTGTTTGCAGTCCCACCACCCAGAAGTCTCCATAACACTGGTTCTCAGCTCTGGCCGCACATTAGAATTATTTGAGGAGTTTTTAAAAAATATAATTCCCAGGACCTAAGCCCAAACAATAAAATCAAACACTCAGGAGCTGGGACATTTTTAAGGCCTCTAGGGTGCTACCAATATGCAGCCAGGACTGAGAATTGCTGGAAAAGCAGCTCTTTAGTACCAAAGTAACATGGCAGTCGGTGGCCCAGGTAAGTCCCGTGTGTCTGATGAGGCCATCTTTGGGATTTGGTCACCCAGATCCCTGCTCAATCCACAGCTTCATTTCAGCGATAGAGATGGAATCTGATGTGAAAGGCCCTGGGGGTCTCTCTCTGTTTACCCTCACCCTTTAGTGACAATCAACTTTCCACTTTCAAAGATGCTACCTGCTTTGGGAAGAAAACATTAATTATCTGCTAATTTGGCACTCTCTTTAATTCCCCTCTGAGCTTCCTCACTTGGTGGCCTTTTACCCTGTGGGTTTCTCACTTGTAAGCTTAGTGTTTGTAGCTGATGAGATATGCTGACATAAAAAAGCTAAAGCAGGTAAATAATTTTCCTTCTTTTGGGTTTCTCATTTTGGAGACGAAGCTGATTCGGCCTGGTACAGTAAAAAAATTCATCCCTGAATAAATGGAAAGGTTTAAAGAAATACTGCAGGAAAAACACCTGCTTTGGTGACAGCAAACTGCTAAGTTAGAAGACTAGAAAGAGAGAATTTTTTTTTTAATCCCTGTTTATAAAGCCTTTTAATAGAACAAGAAATTAGACTGAAAGGGAGAAACAAGCTTCCTCCTCTGGAAGAATTTCAAAGCCAAGGAGAATAAACCTTCAGCCTCAACAATATGCAGCTATGAGTCTTCAGGGGCAAGGAATATTCTTCTTATTTCACAGACAGGGAGATGAAGGCAGAGAGAGTCAGAGATTTGGAAAAAATCTTCAGATGAATACTTCTCAGAAAAATAAATTAGTATTATTTGAAACTCTATCCATTCAATTGTATATCGCTTAGAAAAGTCTCAGAAAAGCTATCATTTTTAGATATATGAACACCCATGTGAAATAATTTATACCTAAGGTCATTCATTCATTGAATGGATTGGAAGCAATGTAAATATCCCATCAACTGGGGACTAGTCAAATAAATTATGGTTAGTTTATACAATGGAATACCACACAACCATTAAAAGGAACAAGGCATCTATGTGAATTAACAGAAAGAACTCCAAGATATACTAAATAAAAAAATAATAAGACTCTAGACAATGTGTATAATATGCTAAATTTGCATAAAAATATCTATCTATCTGTGTATTTATCTAACTGTACTTGTTTATATACGCATTCTACATCTCAGGAAGAGCACACAGGAAACTAGCAACAGAGGTTGTTCCAGGGAAGGAAACTGAACAGCTCAAAGACACACTGTTTTATACTTAAAATTTTTTAAACTTTCTGAGTATATTTCAGATTCAAAATTTGATTAAAAAGACTAAAACTAAATAAAATGCTCTGTCACTTTGAATGTGAGTTACAAATACAATAACTAAACGGAGTGATGGAAACACAGGTGATAATACTTGGTGAGTGAGCAAAACCAACCTAGGGACTGCAAATTCAAATCCCAGCTCTGGTATGCTGGCCATGTCATCTGCTCTTCCTCTGCTCGTTCAGCTAATGAACATTTATTGAGTGTCTGCTGTGTGCCAGATGCTGTGCTAGGCATTGAGCACACAAAGATGAAAGATCTATTCGTGGAATGCTCACTGACTTGTGGAGGAACGACAAGTCAGTTTGCAATGCCGCGTGATAAATGTTGTGGCAGATTATGACAGGTTTCTGCCGGGCCTCATGGGAAGTGAAGCTAAATTAGGCTGGCAAGTTTTGTTTACCAGCAGATATAGCGCTAAATCTTGCAGTGAGGGAAGGTAGGACAATTCCAGGCAGAGGAAGGAGCATGTGCTGGTTGGGGGCAGTTTGGTGCAGGGGGAAGTGTGTGGATGATTTAAAGTAGACACAGGCCAGATCTTGCATGTCGCAATTTGGAGTTTTAAAAAAATTGCATTTGTTATATGTTTCTATTTGTAAAAGAAATACATATCTGATGCAGGGAATTCAACCAGAAGGCCAATGGGGACATAGTAAATAATTTCAAGCAAACCAGTGATAGAACCGAGCTATATTTAGAAAGAGCACTGGCAGCAATGTGGTATTATAGGACTGGCGGGGTTGAGGGGGAGTCACAAACACTTTGGAAATACAAACTGCAGCATTGAAACCAGCATGTGACAGACAGTTTCCCAAGTAGCTGGGGTGCAGGTCCTGCAGTCAGACTGGTTGCACTGAAGTCCTGACTCCTACACTTCATGTTGTGCAGACCATGGGCGTTTCTTAACCCCTGAGCTTCAGTTTCTTCAACTGTACGCCCACGGGCACTGGACAAATGATCTTAGGTTCTCCTCTGTCATTGGAAAACCTGTCAGTCCTGCCCTCCATCCTCATGCACAGCACCCCAGTGAGCATGGTACTTGTAGGCGCATGCAGGCCTTCTTAGGGAAGTGCAGGGAGGATGGAGGAGCATGGATGCAGGAGTCAGAAGAGGCGGTTCCAGCCTGCCTTGAGTGGCTGCATGACTTATTGCTGAACCTCAGCTTCTCCATCTGTGAAATGGGAGCAATAACAAATATTGTACAGAGTTCCTGAAAGGCTTAACCAGGAACTGGGAAACTACGTTTGGAAATTCTGTGTGACATACCATGTAATACACAGATATAAATGACTAATTTCAATACTTTCTCAATAACGGAAAAAAATCAGTATCTCATTTGAAAGTTTCAACTACAATGTAGTACAACTTTTCTAGTGTATTAAAAAAGATCCCACATGTTTTTATTAAAAAAAGAAAACTGGCGTATGAAAATCATAAGATACGTTGTGTTATTAACATTAAGATATATTATCAAATCTCTGCTCCCCCTTAGGTTCTGAAGCCAGAACAAAGAGGTACAATTAATTCTTCACAGGAACAGAATAGACAGACCTCATCAATATCCAGTATTGTGGGTTTTGCACTTTGAATCCTACCTCTTTTTTTTTCTTTATTTTTGAGACAGAGTCTCGCTCTGTTGCCCAGGCTACAGTGGCATGGCGTCAGCCTAGCTCACAGCAACCTCGAACTCCTGGGCTCAAGCGATCCTCCTGCTTCAGCCTCCCAAGTAGCTAGGACTATAGGCATGCGCCACCATGCCTGGCTAATTTTTTCTATATATTTTTAGTTGTCCAGCTAATTTCTTTCTATTTTTAGTAGAGATGGGGTCTCGCTCTTGCTCAGGCTGGTCTCGAACTCCTGACCTCAAACAATCCGCCCACCTCGGCCTCCCAGAGTGCTAGGATTACAGGCGTTAGCCACCATGCCCGAGCAGAATCCTAGCTGCCTTTGCTGCTAGCCATGTGACTGATCATCTCCAAGCCTCAGTTTCCTCATCTGCACAGTGGGGATCTGCACACTTACCGGGAAGGGTGATAGGAAGTTTAAATAAGGTCCGGTAAGGGAGGGGCCAGGCCCTTAGCAGGGATCAATGATGTTTGTTCCTTTCTAGCTTACAAATTGAGTCCTTAATAGATGTGAACATTCTTTGAAAATTATTTCATGTAATTCTCGCCTCACTGTTGAAAGGCAGGTATGGAAGTCCCAGTATTATTACCTCTGTTTCGTTAAAGAGGAAACAGAGTCCCAAAAGCGTTACAAGGTCACTCAGAGAAGCTCTGCAAGGCTTCCCAACTACTCATCTGATACTTTAATATAGATAATATTCTATTTAATCCTGAGCTTCATACTTTTGGAAACAGACTCAATGTTCTGAATATTTTCCCTGGCAATATTATTCAAGTGTCCTAGAATCATTAAATCTTGAAATCAGGCCAGGTGTGGTGGCTCATGCCTATAATTCTAGCACTTTGGGAGGCTGAGGTGGGGGGATCACTTGAGGCCAGGAGTTCAAGACCAGCCTGGCAATAGTGAGACCCCATCTCTAAAAAAAAAAATATATATCCAGGAATAATCGTGCATGCTTGTAGGCCCAGCTACACGGGAGGCTAATGCAGGAGGGTCACTTGAGCCCAGGAGTTGGAGGCTGCATTGAGCTAGGATGATGCCACTGCACTCTAGCCCAAGCAACAGAGCGAGAGAGACCATGTCTCAAAAAATAAATAAAATAAAATAAAATAAAAATCCTGAAACCAGCTTGTGATCCCTCTACAACTTTCCTGCCAAAGTGGTCAACAAAGCACATTTAAATGATTCTAGGGATCAGAACTTATCTCCTGAGGCAAACCAATTCAGTCTTTGGGCAATGTCTTAAGCCAAGTATTATTTCTCTGTTGCTTCCATTCATGGAAATCCAGGCCATTTCTCCCCAATGTGACCACAAGATTCAGTGGCATTGGTAGCCACCCTCCACTTGGTGTGATGTATCCACACCAGTCCACATGAGTGAAGCCTGGGACCGGCCTCAAAACAGGTGGGGTCTGCTCTAATGCCAGGCACATCTGGCTCTGTGCCCACGTTCAGGCTGGTTCCTGTATCTTGCATTTGAGGGCACTGTGTACTGTCTGTGTGATGGCTGTGAGGTGGAAGCTTATTTCTCATTCTTCAGATCTTCTAGGCATAACATACATACCCTTTGATGTCAATGTGGAGTCTAAGTATATTTGAGTCTGTATCTGGCATTAATAGGCATTATTGCTATTTTCTCCCCCACTACCAGGAGCTAACCCCAATAATTTAAAAAGTTTCTGGAAAAAAAAATGCTATTGTAATTCATTCATCAATTACCATTTCTTTTTGAAAAACAGAATAGATTTTTTGCACACATGGCTCAATTTTTAAATAAACCCAGATGTACTTTGGATCAATCATGTTTCCCCAAATCTATGCCTGATATAAACAGATCATCCTAGATAATGGGCTAGTAGTGTTGCCTTCTGTGTTGTAAAGAGGTCCTTAAATCCGAGGAGGATTCCACATACAATAAATGGGAAATGAATGAGTCTCTCCCACAGCACCCTGAGCCTGCCTCTGCCACAACATTGTGTTGATACTGTCTGTTTCATTGTTGGTCTTCCTCTTAGATTCTAGGCTCCTTGGAGGGCCAAGGATGAAGATGATTCATATCTGTGTCCTCAGTGCCTAGCACAGTGTCTGATACACACAGAATGCTCAACATATGTTGGTCCAAGGGAACTGAATGATCATTGAGAGAGAAAGCTTTACACTGGTGCCACAGAACTTGGGTGGAAGTGGAGGGAAGGGCAAAGTCCTGTGGGATCAGAAAATCTTCCTGCAGCGGATTGAATGTGTCCGCGTGGATGGAATTTTCTAGAGGGAGGAGAGCTGGCTGCTTAGCTATCATGATAGGCAGTGTTTTGATTGGATAGGGCTCAGCTGGGGTCTGCAGTGAAGCTTTACAGTGGACTGTTGAGAGCATAGGCACTGGAGCTGGGCTGCCTAACTCTGAATCATGTTTCTGCCATTTACCAACTGTATAACATTCAGGAAGTTACTTAACCTCTCAATGTCTTAGTTTTCTCATCTCTAAAATGAGATAATTCTACCTGCTTAGATTCATTTTGTGAATTAAATAAGTACATGCGTATAAAACTTAGAACAAAGTCAGGTGCAGAATAAGTGCCCAGTAATGTTAGCAATTGTGATCATTTGCATCTCTCTCCATTCTTCTATAGCACTAGATAGCACCACCGTCATGAACTCTGCAAGTATTTGGTCTCTTCTCCCCTTTTCTGTCTTTCTGAATCACTTCTTATCAAGGGCCTGGGATATTATCCTCTAAGGTAGTATTACAGGATTGATTCCATGGCCACTTATTTTTAGTTCAGTAAGCTCTGAGGAGGCCAAAGAATGGGTGGAAAAAAGGACCTTAAACCAGATGGCTGTGGGATGAAAAGGACAGGTCAATCCATGGAGCATTTAATGAGCACCTTCCATGTGCCAGGTGCTGTGTTAGATGCTGGGGTGGGAAGGTGTATTGCAAAGATGGACAAATGCCATCCTCACTACAGGAACTCTCAGTACCTTTCACTAGAAATGAAGCTGAGCTTGGGAGATCAATAAACTCTTAGAGAACAGAAAACAAGACCAGATATCCAGAAGAGAATCTGCAGTTGACTTCTAAATACTTAACTCAAGAATTAATCTTCTCTACAGTAGGAATATTGAGTCTACCAAGTTATAGTGGTAAAACAGTAACAAGTATTTTAGCTGCTGTCAAGATAAAATGAATTATATTTGCCTGTTTTATGAGGTGGTTTAAAGTTATTCTTTCTTCTCTCTGTTTCCTGTCCCCCACCACCCAAACCAGACACCCAACTGGTTTGTTCCCGATGGCTGGCTGTGATTACTGTCCTAATTTGTTCTTTCTTCATCTGCTACAAACTGCCTATTTTCTGTCCCTTCTGATAATGCAGGAGCTCTGAGGGACTTCTGAAGCTGTTTTTGTACCATGCAGAAGTATATTAACTGGAATTCCTGTGTATGTGTCTATAAAACCCCTCGTCTTCTCAGTGTGATATCACCTTCAGGAACGGCGTCATGTCGATGTGCAGCTTGCGCGTGTAAAATTCTTTTCCGTTTGAACATATCAGCCCTTTATTTATACAACTTTGAGGCTCTCCTGTCTTCTGAGCTGCTGCCTCCAAGGACTGCTGGGTTCCCTGTGAAGAGAAGCAGAAAGCCCAAACTTTCATAGGAATGATATACAGTGCAACAAACACTAGTCCAAATCCCCTAATATTTATAGAAAGCAATTTTTAATCATTGGAACAATAATAGTAACAACATTTTTTAGCATTGAAGAAACATGGGACCTATATATAGAGAGAATAACCTGAGACTGGTTATTAATTAACACCTGGGGAAGTGGGAAAAGGGACCCTCCGAGGTCCCAGGGCTGTAAGTATTTCATTTAACCCTCACAACAACCCTGTGGGGCAGGTACTGTGACTCCCATTTCACAGATGAGCAAACTGGGAGTCTCTGGTAGGTTAAGCGACTTGCCCAAAGCCATTCAGCTGGCATATGGCAGAGCTGAAATCACCATCTGCCCATCTTTTTTAATGAGATATTTTTGATACTTCCATAACTTCCTTGAATGGTTATCAAATCTGCCTTGCAGCAAATGTGGTTATAGCCAGATTCCAGTTTATTTCCAAGCTGAAAGTGTATTTGACGTGTTAGGAAGAGTGATTGGAAGAAATGTAGCAGAGAAGGAAGGAAAAATGGGCTAACAGAGGAGTCTGGGAGGCCCCGGGCGGGGGGGTCTCTGAGCCTTTGGGCCACCTCAACATGCAAAGGCATCAGGTGTCAGAGCACTACAAAGCTGGAGCTGACGTTGCCCTCCAGCCTGGGCCCCCCCGCAACCTGGCGGAGCTCTGCAAGAGGCAAACTGGACGTCACTCCTCTGCCTAAAACCTTCGAAGGCCATGGCCCTCAGGATGAAGGACAATTGGTTTAAAAGTTTAACAAGGCCCTTCCTGCCTGGCGCTGGACTATCTCTCCTGCCTCATTCTGTTGTTTAACAAATATTTATTGGGTGCCTTTTCTAGGCCAGGTAGAGCGGATATGGCAGTGCAGCAGCAGACGAGTCTCCGCCTTCCTGGAGCACAGCGGTTCCGCTGAGAGGGAGGAGAGGATGAGCAAGGAAGTGGAGCCTGTGTTATGTCTGAAGGTGACTGGTGATTTGGAGAGAAACAAAACAGAAACAGGGAGTAGCTGGGGATGGAAGTGGAAACTGCATTGTTAAGCAGGGGAGTCCAGGAAGGCCCCACAAGAAAGTGATGTTTGAGCAAAGCTCTGAAGAGGGCAAGGGAAGGGTCCAGGGTGCTATCTACACGAGTGTTTCCCCCACTGTGGGAAGAGCAAGTGCAAATGGCCACTGTCAATACTGGCGCTTCAGTTCCTGGAGCAAGGCCTGCACACGGGCCCTTCCCTCTCCTGGGAGCTCTCGCCCCTCTTCTGGCTCCTCCTCATCTGTCAGGGGAGGCTCCTCTGTGCCCCGTGACCTCCCAGAGCACCGAGCACTTCCCACCATAGCCCACAGTGATTGCTCAGGCCTGTGCAGCCATCTCTCCTCCCTCTAGATTGGACACTCCCTGTGGGCAGGAACCGCCGCTGCTGTGTTCCCACTGTCACAGCAGCATCTGGCTCAGGGTCTGGAAACCAACACACACTTGATACATATTTGCTGAACAAAAGAGTAATGAACATACAAGTGAATGACATGGGGCGGGGGCGGGACAAGCTACCTGTTACGGCCCACTTTGGTTTAACTGAGGAGTGGCAATGAAGACAACGTTACCAGAAGTATGTGTTGACCTCCAGAAGCCTGTCCTCTGTGAAGCATTGGTTCTTCATTCCCAAAGAGAAAAGTTATTTATTAGTTTTGGGACCAATGTGCTGGAGTCACATACATTAATGTGCCATGAGATCACCCTGGGTGTGGATTTGATCATTTCCATATTTTCTCGGAGACTAACTCTCAGATGTCCGTCTCCCTGGGCAGGCATAAACTCTCCCTCCCATAAGATTTATATTTCTTTTAAGCACTAATGATGAATTAACAGTTGGTGGGTCCCCATAAACAGCTATCATTCCAATGAACACCCACACCCTTTTCCTTTGTTTTGAAATGTGGTTAGAGATGAAGATTTTTCTGGACAAATATATATCCAATTTTTTGTCATCAGCCATATATCTGATTAGCTTCTCAGGGTGAGACGGTCCTTCCTCACTGCTAGATCAAATGAAAGCATTTGGTCCAAGCTAGAATCAGACAACGCATTTCCAGCTTTCTAGCCTCCACAATCATGCATGAATCACTGGATGGAATAATAGAAATCAGACAATACTGATTTGAGGGAAGTTTCTCCATTATCCCCAGGAGAAGGTTTCATGTTAGGCTGGAGGACAAAAGGTATAGCCAAGATCAGTTCCAATGCCTGGAATTACTTTAACTGCTTATGTGGAGCTCAGATTGAAGAGTGGGGAGTTGAGAGGCTTTGAGAAAAGTCCCTCCAAGCCACTTGACCTATAAATCTTTTGATAAAACAATTCTCTTGACTGTATGGCTCATCTCCCTAATGTTCAGGGGCCATCAATTCTAGCTTGATGGAATGTTTCAGTGAAGACTCTATAGCCACTGGAATGTGAAGTATGGTTTTTGCTTATTACGTTCCAGTGTTCTGACAAATAAATGATGGTGAAAGTGGACTCAGGAGATGGGGGGGAAAGAAAAGATTAAACAGATAAAGAGGATTCTGGGAGGTAGTGATAAGAGGAGGAAGAGTCAGGAATTTGAAACCGGAAAGAAAGTCATGTGCTTGGGTGGTTTTTCATTTATTCATCGAAATGATATTTATCGAGTGCCTACTATGTATCATACAAACAAGCAGACAAATAAGCACGATGATTGTAGATCGTGACTACTCTGTGAAGACAATGCATTGGTGACAGGTTGGTGACTTGCCTTGGGTGGTCAGGGAAGGCTTCTCTGAGGAGGTGACATTTGAGCAGAGAGCTGGATGACAAGTTGGAGCCAGCCCCGGATGGATCTATCTTTAGCAGTCAGGGTAGCTGCTATCTCTGTGGTCTGATTATTTAGAGGTAAACCCAGGCAGGGATTCTTTGAAAAGGAAAGTAGAATTCCTCCTTTCTAGGCCTGTTCTGCCCACGCTTCCGGGCTCCATCCTGACCCTGGGAGCTGCCCCTCTGTTTTCTGAGTGGTAGAGCAATCAAAACTGACACTTGCAGCTCTCGGGTATGTTGAGAACAAAGACAGGGGAATAAATAGTAATCATGAGTCAAGGTCTCTAAAGGTGTAGGAGGGAGAAGAAAACACAAGGTTAAATGGAAGGGAAGGAAAATGGGGGAAATGGAAGAAAGCAGAGATGCCAGAAGCTATTTTATTTCTTTTATGTGCACACTTTGGTGGGAATGATTAAAAAACTGATGGAAGAGTGAAATGTTTAGCAGAAAATCAAAACCCATCCTTTCACTTAAGCTGTACTGTAAATACTTTAATATTTTTATGTTCTGTTAAAAACACCTGGAAGCCTTTCTCTTTGGTAAACGAAACAATAAAGATTAATGAGTTAATTTGGTAAAGCTGATTTCAGTTGCACAGCAGGCATTTCGTAAGTACTTGGCATTTAAAAAGTTATCTGACATTTAAAAGGAGATGACTGTTAATGAATTCAAGAGCTAATCTTATACTCTGACAGAGTGAGCCATGGAAAATCCAGGATTATTATCTTGCTATAAACACAATGTGATTGAGTTGAGCTATCAAAAATAAAGACCTATTGGCTATATACAAATATCTATACTCATACGCATATATAATGTAGCAAAACTTACAGAGGCTGTTTGTTAAAATTAAATAAATATCTTATCATTTCCTTTCTTACTTTTGGATTATAATATCTGAGCTACAGACCCAGGGAGAAACCCTTCTCTCCAATAATTTTTCTTCCTCCTTTCAACTTGTGTATTCTGAAGGGTCACTACCATCGGTTGGCTCTATAAACAGACCCTGGTACATCTAATCTTAAGAAAGAGATGAGATTCTAAACCCAAGCAGCAACCTCTCCACCCATGGGTCCCACAGAGCCACCAAAGATAAGGATCTGTCCTGTAGGTGTCCCTCAGGCCCTTCTTATTATTGCTCCCACTCCTTTCTAATTGGGGTTCCCCATCTTTGTAGCTGAGGCTTAATGGTTCCAAGAAGAGCTATTGTCCCTCATTAAGGAGGCTGCAACACTCTTGCTGTCTAACTGCCTCCCACACAGCTCACAACTTCATTCTGCCTGAGAGCAAGCTGCCAAGAATCTCCGGGAACCTGTGGGCATGCTGGGCTGAAGGAAGGAGGGTCTTTGTAGCTAAAATCTGAAATGTGCTGGGGAGGGGACATACCCCACCATTATCTTAATGCATGGAGAGCAGGTAGGGGAGGCCTTTGCTGAAGCCCTTATGTGATCTATCAAGTTATCATATCAAAGCTGTGTACACACAGGGCATCTGTCCTCTCCTGTGAGCAAATAAAAGGAAGAGTCAGTCTCTCCTTCTCACCACCAGGCCCCCCTCCTTGGCTGAGAGTCTGTCCCTCCACTTCTCTGAATCCCGGTGGGGATGGAGAGATCGGAGAGATTTAGTCACTGTGGGAGCAGGAGGAGGGCTGGGACTCCGAGCTTTCCTCTCCTCCCACCCTCTGCTGGGGTTGTTGGGGAGACCAAATCCTGGAAGGGACCATTCATGCCAGGAGCAAAGGGCCTGGCAAGTTTCCCTGTGTTTGGCCTTCTCGGGTCCTGTTGTTTCTTGCCCATGGACCTAAAAGTGGGCAGTAGGAATTGGGACCTAGGTGGGTCTGGGTATATGTGGAAGTCCCCTGGGCTCCCTGTGACTAGGCTGCCTGGAAAGGAGACCTGAGTGGGCCGGGGGCATTGCATACACTATCAATCCCAGGCTAGCTTGGAGGGGAACCAGTCGGTGGCAAGGCCACCACCCTGGCCACCCCCAGGTCCTTACTGTGAGACCTTGTCTCTGTCTCGGTTTCCCTGGCCTGGAGGGAAAGGAGACCTCCAGTGTGGAAAAGTAGATGGACTACCCAGGACCTCAGCTCAACAACCCAGCCTGCCTGCACAGCCTCTTTCTGAGAAGC